AGAAAGAAAGAAAGAAAGAAAGAAAGAAAGAAAGAAAGAAAGAAAGAAAGAAAGAAAGAAAGAAAGAAAGAAAGAAAGAAAGAAAGACTTTATTGTGGGAAATGTGTCCTCTGTTGCATCCCACTGCCACACTGAATAGTGCCTAAGGAACTTCTGTCTGGGATTAAGGATGCTCAGGGACCCACAGTGGCAGTGTGAATAAATAAAATGAATGAAGTCATCCCTTTTAAAATAAAATAACAATTATCAGAACTAATCTTTGATATAATCCAAAATAAAATGTAACGATTAGATGATTAAACATAGTGGTTGGAAAAACAAAAAACACCTAAAGAAAAATAAGTGCTAATTCTAATCTATACAACACTACCAGACGGGGAAATCTTAATGACTAGGTGTTCAAATATTTCTAAGATGATAAAACAGAACACTGACATAGTTAATCAGTGTGTTGGCCCAGAAATGAAGGGCATATACAGCTTGGTGTTACATCCTTATATCTAATTTAAACAGAGATAAAAGAAAAAAAAATGAAAAATCGAAAGAGGATGAAACTTAAGTACTGAAAAAGAAATCAGCTTTCAGCACCAGAGACAGCGACACAGAACAAGTAAACTCAAACTGCTTCATAGTTCTTGGAACCAACTGAGTCTCTGCAGGTGTGTGGATCTTACCCATGTCTCCTGGCATTGCTTCTAACAAAATCTCTGCACAAACAGCTGATTCGAATTTGCCATCAAATCAGGATGAGCCAGTGCCATATTTTGATTTCTTTTTTTTTTCAGGACCAGGTTTGAGATTTAAGGATTTATTTTGTGTTTTGGTTAAACTGAATTTGTACATTCATACTTGCTATTTTCCAGAGAAAAGCTTTACGCTGGCAGTGATGGAGGAAAGCAAAACAAAATTTTGACTTTCACACAAAACTGTAGAAATGTACGTAGAGCAGCAAAAAATCGACAAACAAATAAAATATATTAATCACAAATATATCACAACAAAAGAGTCATATTTCTATTTAAAAAAATGTAGCATTAACTTTGACTCCACTACAGTGGACATAATAATAAAAATCCTATCTGGGACTTTATTTACTTTTTTTACCCAGTTGGTTCTTTATAGGTGCCTTGTATGTAGATGCTGACATAGTTTGATTTTAGAATCCGTGTAAAATAAGCTTTAACAAAATTTTAGATTAGTTGATTTAAATTGTCCTACATAATATTACTTGTTGATGCTTTACTAGCTGATATTGACTGCTTAGTCAACCTGGCAATCTGCCCCCTTGTACAGCCTACAGTCTTAAGAAATATGCTACTAAAACTGCCACATAGTTTTAAAACAGTAGGTAATGTAAATACGAATTTGCTTCTTTCTTTCTAGGTGTCAAGATTTTTATGACCCAACATATTTAAACAGTTGGATCTGTTTTTCTAGTAATTTAAGCAAAATTGTAAAAGCTGCTTATCCACCTCTCCAGTAATAAGCCCCAAAAGCTGGCGGAGGGACAATGCATCACTGAATTACTCCACTTTTAATGCAGCACAAGGAAATTCAGGTTGTTCTATTCTCTGTTATTTTATTCCAATAGGGAATGTGATGAAAAATAATAATAGCTCTGAAACTGCAACATTTTGATATCCTTTTATATCTTGACAGGTCATCAACTCACGGCGTTTCACTTGTATACAGAAATATTATCTGGCATACTATCTTAACATAGATCAAGCAACAAAGCACTTCCAGGGTTACACTGTCACAATGAAAGGCCAGCAGTCTATAAATTTAGCTCTACATACAGGATGAACTTCACTCTAACTATACGCTGAAGGTAACAGAGTAAGCTATTAATGATTCTATTTATACATTTCAAGAGGAACTACAAGCATCACATTCAAATCATTTAAAATATTGCTCATCTGTTTGTCCACAACATTTATACAATATGAAATATGTAGGAGAGAAAAAACAAACTAATACATTTTTCAATGCCAGAGAAGTAATTGCGTACAGTAGTTATTATTTAGACAGACGCAAAAGCACAGAATGCAGTTGTTCATCAAATGATCTTAACTTGGAATAAGGTGAATGATGAAGGTGATAGTACTATTTTATAATAGAAACAATGGTCATGGCTTTTCTGATAAGGGAATGTTTGAGATTTAAGCTCCAATAAATGAAAATAAATCAACATTTGTATCAATACATGCATGTAAATAACATTTCAGTGCTGAGTACTACACAATGTTAAGCACAGCATTGCACATGCTGCACACAAGTGGATAACATGTCACGCACAATTAGAAGAAATCATAGTGAGAGAATATTATTAGACTTTTATTTATCTTCTAAACCAAAAGTTATTTATTGTAGGTTAACACTGAAAAGAAGAATTTCATTAATCAAACAAAAGGTATCTACTGTACCCTCTTTAGCTATAGCAACATCAGTGGACTCTTTCTGTTGCTATAAAATGATCAATGACATCAGTCTACCCCAGGGGTGGGCAATTCCAGTTCCTGAGGGCCGGTATCCTGCAACTTTTAAATCCATCACTGGTCCAACACACCTGAATCAAATGACAGAGTTACCTCCTCAGCATGCAGTTAGTTCCTCCAGAGTCCTCTCAATCATCTAATTACTTGATTCAGGTGTGTCCAACCAAAGGCACATCTAAAAGTTGCAGGATACCGGCCCTCAGAAGACTGGAATTGCCCACCCCTGGTCTACCCACTATTTACTGGGATCTTTTGAGGAGTGTGTTGCATGCACAACGTGTAAAAAGCCAACCACAGCATATCAATTCAGCTCGTGATCTGGGCTTTGACTCAGGTTAGGACTTTTCATGTCTTGATTCACTGCAAGTTCTCTTGTTTGTATTACAGATGGTCTCACATTTTCATTAAGCACAGTCTTGTAGAATTCATAGTGATTCTATAATAATGAAGGCCGGGCAGGTGCTGCTGTCGCATGTCAACCACAGACCATGACCCTTTACCTCTTTGCTTTACAGTTGGCATGTGTTTATTTTTCTGGATTTTCTTGGGTTTAGGCTGGAAATTTCCCATGTTCTGTTGTCCAAAAACATCGGTTTTAGAGTCATATATCCAAAATTTATTCCATAAATCCTATGCCTCTTTAGACGTCTCCCATGGAAGTAAAATTTGAGCACTCTCCTCCTGACATTTTTTTCTATTAGAAGCAGCGTGAGCCTTCTTTTGGTCCCA